AGGCTCCCGCCTCACAACACCAAAACCGGCAGAAATGTCAAGAGAAGCCCTTAAATAACACTCCTGCTGCGAGACAGGTTTTCTCACCACCTTTCCGGTTGAGGCTGCTGCAGTGCTAGGGAAAAAAAAAAAAAAAAAGCTTCCCTGCTCTGCCGAGGAAGCCCAGGGGAGCATGACTGCATGGCCTGGCTTTTCCTACCTCCCCCTGGGAGCCGGGAGCTCTGAACTCATCCAGGAACAGCAAATCATTTCCAGCAGGACTGAGCCATTTCGGGAACAGCGAGGCCTGCCCGTCCCATGCTGGGCAGCAGCGTGGTGGCGGGGCCCTCGGAGGAAGCGGGATTCAACTCCTTGGGGGCAGCGCGGCACTTCAGAGAGCTAAAAGCAGGGTTCCCACATCCTGAGCCACTGCTCTGCTTGTGGCTTTTTAAATTTTTATTAAAAAAAAAAAAAAAGGGAAAAACCCTACACTTAGCTACAAGACCCGACTCTGGGTCTTTAGGGCAAGGGCTCAGGCTGTTCTCGGTGCTACACAGAGCTACACAGTGCTAAGCTGCAAGGAGGAGCAGCATTTAAGATGCACGGCAGTTTGCAGGATTCCTTCCCAGCTACACTGGCTGTTGCTGCTGCGCGGGCTGGTGGATGCAGATCCCGTTCTCATGGCACAGCACAGGCACCATCTCCATGCTGGAGGATACCGGAGCCTACCCCAAGCTTCATATCTACCCCAAACACTGTACTGACACCTTCAAAAGGCATCAAACCGTCTGTTTTGGCCCCATCCCCTTGAGGAGGAAGGTTTGGCTTTGGCTTCACCTGCCTGTAAGCCTGCCAGACAGCGCAGCAAAGTCTGGCTTCCACCATCTGACCTTGCATGAAGCATCTCGGAGGTGGCACAAGCCCTGTACTTGTCACACTCCTCACTAGATGAGGAAGCAACAATTTTTTAGTACTTACTGGCAAGCTACAAGTGATTTGTCCAGAAAGGCTCTGAATGATTAAACATCTTTTAGCTGCCTCTTGTCATCACTGTTTGGTTTCTGACCTGCACAAGCATCACAAGGTGGGAATCAATGAGCTGGCAATCTTTTCAGCTTCCCGTGTGCTAAATATTTAGCTTAGCTTTCAAAATGAAAGCAATATTAATTCCTATTTGTACCCATTTCTATTGCCCATTTTATTTTTAAAGCTTACTGACAGGAAACAAGCCTTTAATTACAACTTATTAAGCTTGGATATAGCTCACTCGCCATCTGCTGTGCAACAATACAAGGTGACTCATCATTACCAACACACAGAAAAGATCTGTCCTCCCTGTCTCATAGGTACAAACCTGCACCAGGCACCACTGTGCAAACGGGTGGAAAAAACACAACATAAGTTTTGCTTGCCAGAGCGAGTGTGACCGGATCTTCAGGATTTATGAGGATCACCAGCTCCCCTTCTGGTCCAATAACTCCAGATCCTTCTTACTGCAGCCTTAAAAAAGCTTCTTTCTCTGGCTGACATAACTGCATATGCACCAGTCCCTTTCTGGAGTCCATACAGTCAAGCTTTTCGCTTTCCAGAGAGATCACATAAGACTATTAGCCAAGAAAACACACAGAAATGAAATAATTTTGGAAGCTATCTTTTGTCCTCTCATTTCTCCCATAGTTTGATAGTCTTAGAGTATTTGGCCCCATGCAACATAGCACATATTTAGGATAATGGATGTTTCCCAAAGAAGAAGCATAAGACTGGCCAGCTCTGTGTCTGATTTCCAAAACACCTACAAATGTAACTGCAGCTTCTAAATGCCACATACACAAACTGGAGTATAGGGAATCACCACAAGCTTTGTTAATTGTTAAACTAGAACAATCAGAAAATAAGATAAAAACAAGAAACAATAAAAAAATAAAAAACCCCAGAAAAATCATGTCAAAGACAGCTGTAAAGAGACTTAGAAATAGGTTCATTCAAATTGATCCTGTTGAATATAGTAAAAAACAGCATAAAGTGGCTGGGAAGACTCAGTGCCTGGAAGTCTTAGTCACCTGATATGCTTCTGCACCACTTCTTACTATTTGAACTTGGTCTGAAATCAGAAGGAACCAGGCTGACAACTCTTTTTTTAAAGCAGTAAAAATCCCACCAAATTCTGATTAAGAATTGTAAAACAGCCGTTTGCGAAAAGTTCCAGTTATGAATTCCCGTTTTATTTAAGTATTTGCAAAGCTCAACTACAAAGCAACTTTCTACCCACTCACTCAGCCTTTCAATCCCCGCTTCCCTATGAATGAACTTTTGGGCATCCTTTGCTCCCAAGCCGACCCTACCTTCTATCACCACAAAAGTGGCTGAAGGCCCCGTCTGTAACTGCAGCCACCTCTGCGTGTGGGGGAGGATGCAGGTCACCTGCGCTTCGAGTGACAGGAAGAGGTGCAAGGAACAAGATAAAAGATAAAAACTTCTAAACATAGGGGGTCAAGCTGCATGTTGAGTGAACAGAATCGGAAGTCTTCTGACCACAGGAAGCAGAAAGTACATTCTATTTCCACTTTCTGCATGCACGTGGATTTTAAACAAACCAAAGCTCCTCCTGTCCCCAAAGAACTTCTGTCCACAGACAGAAACTGCCACCTACTTTAAGTAGCTGGTAGATACAGTCTGTACTGCAGTGCTAGGGGCTTTCCTACGCTTTTCAGCTGTTAAACTGCAGATCAAAAGATTTGTTCTGAGAGAGGAATGAGCCTAAGCTTTAATGGATAACTCAAAACTGAGAGGGGAGGTTGGCCCATCCTGGCATAGCTGGGGCTTATTTTTTCCAAAAGACTTTGTTTAAAGACTCACCAGTATGAGATAACCTGATGGTGTGACTGACTTCTTTAACTGCTTCCTGAATTCATCACCATTGCTTGGACAGTTGATTCTGCAGGAAGTGAGAAATAGCCCTTTGGCCTAAAAGCACAACTGTAGTGATGTGGTTTCACCCAAAAGATAATAGGCAGTTTTGAGATAACAGCATTCTAAGTACTACTTACCTTAAGTAGGGCCCTAAAGTAAGTACTTTAGGGCCCTGCACTCACTCACGGCACATATAGAAGTATTTCTTACCACTGAAAACAGCAAGCAAAGCTGACAGAAGGGATTGCTGGAAGGAACACTAGTCTTGGGACCTTCAGAGGAAGCTGGTACCTAGAAAAAGCCATCCTCAACTTGCTCTGGTTATTCTGTCTTTTCAGCTGCCGCACAGAACACCACCACGCACACAGGTCCAACACACAGAACCTGTATTTGCAAAGAAGTACCAGGCATGGCTCCTCCATAACACACAGTTCCTTACCATGACACAACCAAGGACACCTCTTCAGCTTCACTAAGAATGAATATTAATGCCTGGATGAATCAGTTCTTTATGCTGAACTCTCTGGGGATTGAAGAAATGCCACCGTACCTCCACAAAGACGACCTGGTGTAGGTGCAAGCAACATTACACTGCAAATAATTCTCAGGGGTTTTTCCTCGGGAGAACAGGCTGCAAGAGCATAGAGGGCGGTCTGAAATTCAGGCTTTTGTTGCCATGTTTGTTCTTTCCTCATCTAGATATTTGCAAAGCTGCATCCAACCAACCCCTTCCTGTTTACAGAAATAAATGTTTTTGAGAATGAAACTGGAGGACAACAGAGCTAATGCAGTTGTTGAGCTTCAACACAATTTGGAAAGCATCTGGCACACAATTCCAAGGGTGAGGCAGACTGGAGCTCTGCAGAGGCTCTTCCATAATCCCCTGCCAACATCTCCCAATGCTGGATCACCGTTAGCAGCTCGCCCTGGAGCTCCTAAGTGAACTCTGGCACTTTTCCACTAATATAGGGGTACCTCAGAGAACAGCCAAGAGATGAAATAACTCATAAAATGTGCACATATGGTAGCGAGATTCAAAGCATTTCAACAATTTGTGACCATCTTATACATATCATTATGATTAAACTATATATATATATATATGTGTGTGTGTGTGTGTGCTTACATTTATACACACACAATTTTTTAAAAAAAGTCCATCTGATATCTGAAAAGTGGCTATTCCCGTAAGTATCCAAGTCTGCATAAGCTTTTTGCTATAGCATTTTTAACAGTTATCACAGACAAAGTGATGGCTGTTGACTGTATGACAAAATTCCCTCTGTATTATAGCCACATAATAGGGCATTCATAATATTGTTCATGACATTCTTTATTAAATATCCTCTTTGATATAGAACATATAAGTAAAAATAGTTTAAAAACTCTTTTTTAGACATTCTTACAGCAGTCTTCGATACATTACTACAGCAGTTCCCTTTAAGAAATAGATCTTTATCAAATGTGAGGTTTTTGTTTGGGCAGAAATCTGTTTCATACAACTAAGTTGCTAGGGTAGATACTGAAAGAAGCCTAGAGAACCTATGAAAGCTCTGAATTCAGATATTTGGTTAATAAATCCACCTGTGTCACAGACACATTATTCTTAATGGGATAAGCAGGATAACAAAATGCCTCCTTCTAAAGTTTAAAAAAGATCATGGCACTACAATAAATACAGTAAGAGGATATGCCTCAAGCACAGGCACCTCAGTACAATACAGGGGTAAGTTTGAATGCTATTTCAAACACTGGAAATTTGCCCTGAAAACCGTGTGGCAACTGGTACTGCCACCCAGATGAGATCAAACGCAACAAAAATCAGACAGGACAAGCACAAGTGACTACTGCCTAACAAGGGTGTTGCACAGGCTATGTGAAAGCCAAAAGATCTCCTTGGTTTCATTCCTTTCTACATACACCAATAATGTCTCTTTTCTTTGTTACATTACTGAACAGGAAGTACTTCCCTGGGCCAAAGGATAGCTCCTAGGCACAAACTTTTTCATTAAACAGATTAGGCTCATCAGTATCCAGCTTAACAAAGGTACTGGCATGAAGATGACTGCAGACAGTACCTACAGCTGTACGACATGCTGAGGAAATAGCTGCAGGGCATGTTTATATTTTATGCTGAGCATTTTAATCCTAATCCTTAAATTACAAACAAAACATTATGTAAGAGGTTGCTTGAGGTCAAACAAACCAGTCCCTCCTTTAACAACTTTTCCAACCACTAGGCATGCAGAAGGAGACCTCAGTTCATCATAGGCACCTAGAAGAGAAACCAAATAAAACCATATTAGGAGGGTATCCAAAGGCTGTGCACAGGTCAATGCTAAAAATCGATTTTGTTTTACACACAAGAACTTCCATGGCTCAGCCCCCTAGGTCTGGAAGGGCACTGCCACCTGCTGTTCAGATCGGATTTGTATTTCTGGAAGCAGAATTCCAACACTCTTCCTGTCCCTCCCACAGCAGCTATTATCTCTTCCTAATCTTGGAGGGCAAGCAGAGGATGAGGCCACACATTCCTAAATTCTCCCCCGTCAGCATGAAAAGGCAATGCATCCTCAATTCGGAGAGAGCACATATTTGGCCTTGCACTGACTACATTTTGCTGATTAGATAAATTGCTTTAAAAAAGAAAAAAAAAATCAGTGATGCAAAAAACAAAAAGATTCCCTTTTCATTGCAGCCTTTTTTTCCCCTTGTGAAGCCTTTTTTTCTTTGTACAGTGAATCCTTTCGATGTGGATTTTAAATCCTTCTGGCTAGATATGAAGAGGACTTTGCACTGGAGAGACATTCCACGAATTCCTTTGATTTTGTGGTTACTCGTTGCAGTGAAACAGTGTCACAGAACATTTGGAAGGTCTCCAAACGACATGTCTGGCTACAAGTGTTAGTGTTTTGCTTTCACTGTTTTTATAAGCTTTTGGGCTGCTTTTCATTCATTTTGAATACCAACAAGCTGGAATTTTGTCATTCCAGCACGTTGGAAGATTGGAAATAAAAGCAAAAGTAAGATAGAAAGCTCAGTGCATTTCTAAAGAGGACTTGGTGGGGGAAGCAGAGGGGCTGCACCACAGCACTGAGCACATGTGCTTCCTGCTCTGGCCTCAGCTACAGCTGTACGAGAGAAGAGCTGCTCCGAAACGTGTGCCAGCTCACGGACAAGAAAGAAAAAGCTTCTTTGTTAGATGGCTACACAGAACGGTCACCACTGCCCTGTTTGCTCACGTGACAGTTAACAGAGAGCTGTTCTTTGGGCAACTTTAGCCAAAGGGCTTCTGCTCCCGATGAGGACGTGTGTCTGATCACCAAATCCTCCAGGCTGTCGCTATGCTGGGTCCCACCTGCTGCTTTAGCTTCGCTCCGACTCCCAGCCCTTCTCTGCCTCCTCCTTACTGACCAGGGCCCTAAGAGGGCATCTCGGCAGCACCTCTTCAATGTACAGTCAATACCAGCTGCCTTAAAGCAAATTAGATTCAGACTGCTGCATTCCACATTATGACTCCGATTTCCATCTTGATGAAATCTATAAATCCCTTCACTCATAATCACTGGAGCTTTCCTGCTCAATCCGCGTGCCCTTCCATCAGTAATGCATTTCATATCTTTATTCGTAATATTAGCCATAAATAGAATTCACTTAGCAAAAAAGCACTTACTTCTAAGTCAGTATGTGATATAATATAAATCCAGGGAGAGCAAGTGGCAGGATAGATCCTTTTCTTTCAACGTCACCCTAAAGTTGCTCTACTCCTTTTCTTTTTATAGATGAATTGTAAACCAATTGTAACTAATACTACTCATTAAAACCCAAATTGCCCACATGAAAAAGGAGCAAAACAACATAAGAGAAAGGAACTCAGGGACAAAAGTTCCTCTGCCTGACATCTGCTCAAGGCAGGTTAAGATATCCTAGCTGAAAAGACCATGCTGAGAACTCGTATTATGTAGCAAAGGCAACACAGGAGTATCCAGAAAGGAGCATCCAACTGGCAAGGGGCAGAAACAAAGTGTTTTGGCAAAATGGAGATGTAATTAGCACCCAAGTGTGAGATCAAGCACATCATCTAATGTCAGACTTAAAAGATGCATATACTTTCTGGCTGGGACTCCTAAAATAGATGTCGAGTGACATAGCAAAAGACCTGAAAGAGCCACACAGCCATGTGGGGCAGGTAGATGTGGTTCAGACCTAAGGTATCTGTATCCTTTTCAGAGCAACAGCTGCTAGATGCCAGAAAGGATACCTGTGGGCATCTCAAACGGCACCAGAAACCTACTGTTCAATAAATAAATCTGACTCTGTATTTGAGGAGAAACCAAACCAAAAAAAACCCAAAGAATAAAATGAGAGTGCTAGTACAAAGTGGAAGAAAAATTTGCCAAATTAACAAACAGGAAGGCTGTTCTCAAAATAAAATTCCTAAGGTCAGTTAGAATAGAATAGACGAAGAGATGGAAGCTAAAACAGAGACATGAAAACAAAGCAGAGATGACAATTTCAATAGTGCAGGCAGAAACAGACAAAGAAAGATTTAATAGCCTGTTAGAAGCTTTTTTTTTTAATAGTAAGTCTTAATAAACTTGAGATTTGTTATAAAAAAACTCACTATATAGTTTCTAAAGAAAAGAATTACAGACCCCACAGATTACACGTGGGAGCTGACTTCATTTAAGCTGACATAATTTTATTAAAAACATCTGAGGCATTCTCATAGACAAGGCCTTAATTAAAAATTTAGCCTCTGGCATTTTTTTCTAGTGCAATTCTGTATTACTTAAAGCAGTGGAAAGTTACAACAAAAACAAAGCCTATGTGAAATGCTGCAGCAATATAGTTCAAACTAAAGCATTTACCCATCATTGTTGCTTCCTTCAAGAATTTGTAGCTGGTTTCAAACGTCATCTGTTGCAGAGGGGAAGAGTTGGACTGAATTCCAAAACGATTCAGTGGTTTATAAATTCCTTCAAAACACATGTAATCTGCCACCAGGGAAAGGTGCCGAGGGTCTACCACAATGCCTAAAAACGTGGAGAAGAGGGAATATCAGGGTACTCGAGGACTAAAGTTTTTGTGTGCGCACTTTGTTTTAAGATAAAATAGATCTAAAATAAACACCTTGACCCTAATGAACATGGAGACATCTCTATTAACACTCCTCTGGCAGCTCTGTGTGTGTAGCTGGCATAACCGCCCCACTCAGATGTCCAAGATGAGCAGACCTCACCATAAAATGACATTTCTGCAGGGAAACTACAATGTCAAGAATGCTGCAACAAGGCAGAAGTTTCATTATACAGAACATCCACACATTACTCAAGTAGGGCAGGACCCACTGCTAATAAAACCTGCACCACCACTGTTTATGCAGGATGCATCACACATCCATGCACTTGTCACAAGGCAGAGCTCTATCCCCTCACCTGGTAAATCATATTTGCTCAACACTGGAAACACACAAGTTTTCATATTTTCTGTGCGTGATGTTATGTATCCATAGAAAACTCTATTTATAGACTAAATATTTTTAAATACATTTAGACTAACGTATTTTTAAATAACATTTGTGGAATCAGTGTGATCGTTACCAGCTCTGTCAACTTCTACTCAGCAGCCCTAAACAGTCTGAAGGTCAGACCACTTTGGGCTGCCATTTAGCAATATGTTTGATGTATCTGGTTGCCAAAATGTTCACTGCATTAATCTTCCCCCTTTTCCAAAGTTTGATTCATAGCAAGACTTAGGTCTACTAAGGCCAATTCAATGATGCAACTCCAGCAGCTGCAGTTACCTAAAACAGCTGAGGGCAGCTTAGCTGAGCCAGGTTGTCTGGATTCTCTAAATAAAATAGAGAAAAAAAACCCAGATAACACCATACAGCTATTCTATGATAAAAAGGTGGTCGAGACTCCTACCATTTCAGTGACTAGAGTTAGACCAAACTTATCCTATTCTCAGGGCCATTAGGCAAATCTTACATAGTGAGGTTCTTCAAATGTTAATAGCTAATTCCTCTGAACCTTCCGGCTGGCAAATTAATATACCAGAATAGAAAAGATCTGTGAAGAAGGAAATAAATTCAGCTTTGCCTAGGAAATTTTCTACTGATTAAATGGAGCCTAGCAATTAACTAATGAAATCTTCACAGAAGGCACTGTAATGAGGAAAATTATGAACAACTGAAACCTAAGAATACACACATAAATGCAAAGATCATGTAAAGACAACTTGCTGAGCACAAAAAGATTTCTGCGCTTTTCCCATCTTAATAATAACACCTAAAAAAAAGTACAATCTTTTAAAATAAAAAACCTACCATATACAGCAAACACATCTTTTATTTCCTTTATAATAACCCTCAGGGCTGACTCAACACCATAATTCTTAGCCATGGCATGAATATCATTGGAATAAAGTCTGTTCAAGTCCAAAACCTGAAAACAAAAAAAACACAGATGCAAGTTAGAACAGTAGTTAGTCTATTTTTCCAAATAACTAAGCTAAGATAGCTTTTTCTATACTTTTCATTAGCTTAAACTGCACCAAGAGTTGCAGACCAACTAGACAACAGCTCAAAAATGACTGTGAATTTACATTTAAGCTACTGACCACTAGTATTTTAAACATGTGGAAGAGTGTTGGAATCAAAATTTGGCACAGAAAAATGAGCTGACTTTAGGGGGAACTAACAGGCAGGAGGAGAACATGTAAAGTCCCCAGGCAATGCAATGCAATGCCATGCCCAGTCTGCCTTGGATATCCAAAACTTTCAGCCAAAGAATATGTAACACACACAAAAAAATCCTGTATTTATAGAACTACATGGAGTAACACAACTATTCATCTCCAAGTGCTGCAATTCATTTAGATGGAAGAATTCCCTCAAGAAACATTTACAGAGATAGTTAGAAGCATGGTGGGGAATTATTTGTCATTAGATACTGGGCTGCCGCACAAACACTCATTTGCTGTCTGCCCTTGAGAAAAGATTCTGCTGAGCTCTGACAATATCCTGGGGGAAGAAGGGAATTTATGAGCTGAAAAGGATACACATCATGCCTGATAAATTTAAATGGTACCCATTATCCACTGTTCCTCCCTAGAACACAAAAAGATCATTCAAATTCAAGTTTAGAAATAGATTAGGTACATCAGAGTATCTGAAGAGTTCTGCAAGGTTTATCCCTTCAGTATGTAAAACAAGCTCCTTCTCTCCTTCACTATTGGTGTTTTCATTCAGCAAGCATCGTGTGATCCCCTTTATCTCATGAATAACTGTGTTTCGGGCAAGAGTCACCAGCAAGGAGGTGAGGTCGAAGTACACCTTCATCAAAGGAAGGGTCAGGGAAACCTAGAAGAAACCAAACACAACAGTGAAGAGTGGGGTAGATTTATCTGGTTAAATAATTAGATAGATCTAGTTAGATAGATCATCTAGTTAGATCTGAAACAGTTTTGTTTTTTTTTAAAGAGATAAAAAGGATTGTTTAAAAAAAGGGAGAGCAAAATATTTCTGCATCTACAAAATTTGCATTCCTGATAGTGTCAGCAGAAAAACCTATCACATTCATTCCAGAATTAATGCCCCTTTTAATTACTGTACCATAAAATGAAATACTCTGGTTTTATTCATTCTAAATTCCTCTATGAATATACATACTTCATCATATGGAGCAGGCTCTCCTGCCTACCATCTTCAGGACACATTCACAAACAGCCTCTTCCAACAGTCCTGCTGTCACTTTTCTTTGTCAATCAGTTACAGAGGGGTACATCATATATTTGAACGTTTAAACAACATGAACTTGTCAGCTGTCATAAAAAAGAGTTTCAGTAGGGGTCTTGGGAATTAGGGATTGCTAAATATTATGTCAGCTAGCACATTTACTTGGAGACATGTACTGCTGTTTTTCTACATTAATATAGGAATGCTGAGACAAAGCAGCGCAACTGCAGTGATTTATTTGCTATGAGCTCTGTGCAATCATTTTGCAAGCACACACAGATGTTGACAGGCACTGCCATCTTACCTCACACCAGAGTTCATTTTCTGTATCAAATGTGTAATCCTGTACTGATGGGTGGCTGCTCAGGACAGCATTTACTCGTAACGCCGCTGATTTAACTATTCGATCCCTCTCCTTTTTCTTCTGAGACATAAAGGAAAGATGTTGAGAATCATCACCCTCTGCTCCATTTTGATCTCCTCCTTCAGCAGTTTGAGGCCTTTCTTCTTTCTCTGATTCAGCCTCCTCCTCTTCTGGGTTCTCACCAGCCTGTTCATCCCCATTCTCTTCTTCGCTCTCATAATCAACCTAGAGAGAAACAATATTGTACTTTTTAATGATCTTGCCATTACCTCTCTATACAGTCAGAGATGATAAACGTTTTTGTGACTTCAGCAGAATTTGTTCTTTTTACTTTTTTAATACATTTTTTTCCAAAACACTCTTTCTATAGTTCAGCTCTTGTGATGGAAGTGCCTCAGGAGATTTTCAATTACTCTGCCCTCCAGCTGAAATTACAGCAGCCCATCTTTAAACAGTAATTACAAGATAGTGAACATGAAACAATATGAACAGTTGGGGAGAGTGAAGCATAGAGAAGTTTAAAATATAGCTAAAAGCATGAAGTTAAGCAAGATGTAAAATTAAAGTGAACTGTAACACTGACAATCTGACTGCCAGACACCTGTCCAACTGCTGAAGAACATGGCTTAAAATGGAGGGGGGAAAAAAAAAAAGTCCAAAAAAATATCTTCCATCTCTAATTTGCAAGGCTTCCATGTTCCTCTTAAGGGACAACAGGCAGTGACCGGGCTCAAGCTTGTCACCCTTGTGATGTCTCAGCCCACATCTGCTGCTACAGATTTCTCCTCCATCCAAACCTCATCAACAAAAAGCAGAGATTTCCGAACTCCCTTAGAATATATTTTAGCATTCTGTTTTGAAGGAAGTCTTTCCTTCCCAGCTCTAACCTGGAAACCAGTGGAAAAAAGAAAATGACATGCAGTGCAGATTGCCTGTAACATCATTACCTCTTCTTCCTGTTTCTTCCTCCGCTTTGCTTCTGTAGCATCACCATCTCCTTCATCAGCTTCTGCATCAACAATCTTTTCTTCATCTTCTGGAGCTTCCTGATTATTTAATACCTGAAAAAACACAATGGGCAAGATAGTCCAGCTGACTATGCTGGGCAGCTTCAACTGCATCAGACGATATTAGCCAAACATTTGGATTTTTCAGTCCCCAGTCCGAAAGTGTCCCACCCTTAAGGATGAATTAATTTCTATAGGACTTCTGCTTTAAAGAAATAATGAACTCAAAATGGTGATAGCTTTAACAGTAAATAGGAATAAATTCTACAAGATAAATAAGCTACCATTCTGTGAAAGAGGTAACAAAAAAACAAAAGAAATATATATGTCAGTGAAAAAAAAGAACTTCCTCAAAGGTTTTGGCAATGGCTGCTGCAATAGAACCTTGTTCTAGGAGGAAATGGAGAGTATCAAGCTTCTATCTCACTGAAGATAAAAGCAAAGGGCCATTTTAAGCATACAGTCCTGCAGTAAGCTAGGATTTTATACACCTTTTATTTCCTTGTTAATTTTATGAGAATGAAAGATATTTTATGCACAAAAAAAAATTAAGAAGTAATTCAGTAGCCGTGAAGAACTCCAGAAATGGATTTAGTTCTTCACACCAACATATAAATCTGCAAAGCACTATATATTATGCAAAGCAGAAAAGGAGTATCTTTATTTTTAAACATCACTATTCACATCACAACATGATAAGCTTTTCCAAATTCTGGTTCTCAAAAGAACAAAGGGAGTAAGGCTTTTTCCAAGTCACGTTTTTCTGTACCTGGTCATGGTCACCATCTAAATCCTTCCGAGTTGCTTTCCGGGCACTAACTTCAGTGAAAGATTCCAGCTTTGCACTCTTCTTTTTAATCGTTTCCAGCAAGATTTTAAAGAATCTGAAAGAAAATGCAATCCAAAACATCTAAGCTCAGCAATACTGCAGTCAATTTCAAGTTTTCAAAAAAGGAATATATTTTGTTTAATAAGCTCATCAACTTCAAAGAGAACATACTATTTGGTTAATATAAAAATACTTCTACATTAAAGCAATATTTTTGCATGTCTCCTCTCCACTCCTTCAAGAATGCATGGTGTCATCTGTCTCACAATACACATACAATAAACACTAAGTATCCAGGGATAAGGAGTAGGATGTTGTTTATACAGTCTATTCTGACCTCTGGAAAAGGTGAGAAAGATCTGCCTTGATGCAGTTCCACATTGTGGCCAGTCTACAGAGCTAGAGTTTTATTCAAGAGCATCAGAAGACATGGTGCAGATGCTTTCCCAAGCCTGTGCTTAGGATGCAGCTACTGAGCAAACATGAAAGCACCTGAAAGTGAGCTGACCTTGTTTCCATGAAGTACAAGATGTCCTTGGGCTTCACACATTTCTCCTCTCGGTAACATTCATGGGGCAAGAAATGGAATTTGATTTTGTAGAGGCGATGTTTGTTATGCTTCTCCCTCAAGTGCAGAGATTCCTCCATCTCAACTTTCTGCAAGACCTACAAAAGCAACAAGTAGGAAGACAACTGCATTGATGAAGGCACTCCATTTACTTCCTGCAACTCCAGTGCTTTCCATACAGGACTGGAATTATACAAGGCTAGCTGGCAAACTTTTCTGCTGGCTTTGCAGCAGCTCCTGGGGAAGAAGGTTATCCAAATGCAGCACTCTCTGGCTTAAGCACTTCCCAGCAATCAGGTTAGACAGTACTGGGAGAAAGTTCCACCTCCTATCCTCAAAGGCCAGCCATACTTCCTGGTGGATCAACAAATCCATCTTATTGACCCTTCTTCCTTGCTCATGGAACACGACAGTCTTTCAGCATCAAGCTGAGACTTAACTCCACCCTTGCTGTTTTCCAGTTTAAGAAAGGGCTAGGACAGAAGGAGATAGTACATGCATTAGACCAGAAGAAACACTGTGGACATAGAAAGAGAGGAAGCATGGAATAAATCAGGCTTCAGTAAGCCTTTCTTTATGTTCCATAGAGAGCTTGTAGCCTGTGGCAATGCAGTAGGTATTAATTTGAATCTAAGCCTCATGGCCAGTTACTGAAATTCCCTTCAGTGTTCCATCTCTCCTAGTAGATTTCACAGGTTAATAGGCAGGAGATGAAAAGGACCCTCTCAGCTCCTGAATCTTGCATCCGTTGGGGTGGCTTCAAAAAAGGAAATCACTAAAAAGCTGAACTAACTGATACATTCCAGTAAGAAATATTTTATTTTGCAGACTCCAAAGGATATACTGAACAGGAGGCTCACCTCAGCTAAGCACACTCTTGTCAGCCTCTTCTTAAGCTGTTTCACCTTCTTGTGAGCTTTCTTGGTATTTAACACAGGGACACTCATCATTGGTGTTTTAATATTTGCACTGGCTACCATCAATATCTCCCGCAACCTTTAAATGAAGAATGATTTTTCAAGTTAAGTAATAAAAGCATTATGCAATCAAATAAACCTCTAGCTCATTTAATAAGGCAGTATGCAGCAGGATGCTCATTTAATAAGGTAGCAATTGCCAGCTCTAGCAAAGCTTGATGCATAAAGAGCAGTGGTTACCATTGAACTGCCCTTTCTCACATTTCTGTGAACAAGCTGACGACATGTGTGCCAAATGGCAAAGTCACTGTCACCAAACAGCCAAGGGGAACCTGGCTGGTTTAAAAGAGGCTTCTTTCTACCCAGGTGATGACAACCCTAAACTTGCAAGATTACTTGTCTTTCAGATTCTTTTTTTTTTTTCCTGCAATTAACTAACAAGTTTTAAAGTTATTGGGAAAAAGAAAGGGTAGGCAGATAGCAAAACCACAAAGCTTGATTGCTTTTCATTTGCTTCTGTGTTCAGTACCATATAAGCCATTTGCTATGCATCAAATAAGATTGAGTGGCCTTCACAGGTTACTTTCTATCTAGGAAATAAATCAGAACACCTGTAGAATTGGAGAATGTTAAATATATCTGAACATGCACAACTGATAATTAAATTGAAGCATCATTTCCCCTTATGATTACATGTGCGACAGCCAGTAAGATTATAAGGTACTATGTAAGTTCCAAAATGGTAAGGAGCTTATTGAGACCAAGTTTCTCACCTTGGAATGCCCAACGTGACGTTCATTTCACCTCTGCCAGCAAAGTGGAAAGTGTTCAAAGTCATCTGTGTGGAAGGCTCCCCAATACTCTGGGCTGCAAGGAGACCCACGGCTTCTCCTGGGTCACATAGGGATCGTTGCCACTTTAAATACAACAAATCCTTTAACCTGAACATAGAAAACAAGCAGAGCTTTAACTCAAAGTAGGACAAAATAAAGAAACATTGTGCAGTTTAAAGTCACACCTTTCAGCCAATTTCTCTTGGTAGTATCTGGATACATCTTACAAATTACAGAACTGTTTAACTTGATCAGATCTGACAAACACATTTCACTAACATAACTGGGATGTTACAATATGGTTTGTCTATTTGGTGCTAATTCCTAGATTGTTAAAAGAGAATCCATTTAGTTTCACTTGCTCATCTGAACTGCCTGCTAACCCCCAAGGTGTGTTTGTTTCAAGAAGACTATAAAGACAAGATTTGACACAGGCTTTTCATTTTTAGCAATCTCAATTTAAAGAACTGAGGTTTTTTTTCCCTTTCAGTGCAAAGAAGTAAACACAGAAAAGCTACAACCTATCAGAAGAAAATGCTGGTTGCGTGTAGCACCCTTGGTTCTCAGATTTCCATTTCTTGATGTAATTGTCGACTCCATTTTCAAACGTTTCTGAAACGGATGCAAAGTAAGTATCTGGACGCCAGACAGAAAGGCTTGGATCAGGACACTTAGTTGTCTTCTTTTGATATTTCCTTCGTTTCTTCTCATCTAGTTCATACCACATCTTTAATAACTGAAAATAAGCAGATTAAGCAGGTGGTTTACTCAAGAGATCGAAACGAAACAGTGCTACTTCCACCAGTAATCAAGCAGTAGAGAAGGAGCCACTTGCACAGTGCTTAAGGGCTTATGTAACACACAGCAAAGAATAACTGAGTTACAAAAATGGCTTTCTCCACTTTCGGATATTTATATGTAGCACTTTTGATCCTGCAAGATTTCAAAGCACTTTACAAACTTGAAATAGTCAGAATATCCATCCACAGTAATCACTTTAGACACCAGTGAAATACAGTCCCCTGAGAATGACGTTAGGTTGGCAGTGACATGTCTCTAACTAACTTACATTGCTACTTCTAGCTGGCTAGCACCTCACTTGTCTAAGACTGACATGAAAAAGGAGCTCTTCTTATTTACAAGTGAGTATTTAAGTCCAATAGTCCAGAGATCTTTAATTTAGTCTGCAACTTGTGCATGCTAATTGGCCTTATTTCTGTTCTTCATTTTCTTAATATTTCAAGTGACATTTTAAATGTGGCATTCAATAAAGAGTAGTTAATGATAGTTTAACAAAAGTACAGAAAATGCTTTAAATGCATCTTTACAAAAGTCTTGCTCTTTTATGAGGTAAGAATTTGTTTTGTGATAAGAAAGTCTGTCCACTAAGCCTTCTAACATATTTACCTAGAGATTTAGCTATTTCTATCTATCTTTTTATAAGGAGAGAGTGAGTGAGAGTGAACAAATAAATAGAGGCAAGAATCACATGGCCATACTGTTCCAAAGGCTACCAGAAGTGCCAGTCTCACAAATTTAGCATCGCCGCATGAATCAAATCAGTGACAAGGCAGAGTATCTTCAGACAAGAGACCAAACTTAGATCTGACAAAACCTTCAACTTGGAGTTTCATGCAAACTGCTCAGGTTCTAGTAGGGCAAACTCCTTGCAAAAGCCAAGCCATGGATCTGTACCTGCCTGCATCGTGTGCCTGTACATCTGTTCCTCATTTGCAGCCACAACATACAGATTACCATTAGCACGCGGAGGTACATTTTTAAGACAGGCTAGATCAACTATTTTTGCTTTACCTGTAAAGTAGCAGGATCTCTTCCATTTTTGCTGGCTCCAGCAGGAATCTGTGCTTTTATCCTCGCCATTTTCTTCTGGGAATACAACAGAAAACCTCCTTCTCTTTGCACAGGGGTTTGCTGGTGCCTGGCTCGCCACTTTTTGATGGCTTTGAACTGTTGGTTAGCTTGGTGAGACTCCATCTTTGCTAAAGCTTCATCCAGATGGTTTGTTTTTTGGATCACCTAGGGAAAAAAAATTCTTTATGATCATTCTTTTCTCTACTCTTCCTATAGCTAAAAAGGCAAAGCAAATTGAAAAGGACATCTGCAGCCACTCAAACTTTTCAGCTACTGCAACAGAATTTTTAAAATTGGTTTTCAACCAGCTGAGGCTAAAGCACTTTTATCTTTATTTGACTAGCATCATTTTTTATTAGTCATTCAAGCAACAGTGGTAAAGTGAGTTATCAAACTTGAGAGGCCGAATAGTTAACATTTAAGTGCATTTAAGTGAATGAAGTGTTCGCCTTCATCCCATATAAACACTTTATTTAGATTTTAGGTGTTCTACCTCATAGTTCTCAGCAATGAAAGGAAACTGCTCCGGTTGCAGGAACTGAGTTTTGGGGATATCAAGGCCATCTTCTCCATACAGAAACTGCACCACGCTGCCATCGCTGTCACGTACAGTGAGGTCATACTGAACCACCAGCCCTTCCAGATGCTTTATGATACACCTGCCGCAGAGGAAAAAATAAGTGTTAGGAGGCTACAAAGTAACAAGGATGATAGAACTCTAACATAAGATATTATAAAAATCAGTATTTTTCAATTGTAGTTAATGGCTGATAAGGAAATTACGGTAGCCAAAAATCTTACAGATGAAACATGAAATTAAACTGCAAAGTTTCATGTTGCTTGTTCCCCCATCCTTGGGCTGAAGGGGCTGAGAGAGTCCTGGAATAAATATTCAACACTTGGGACAGCAAACACTTTTTATTTAAAAGAAAACACATGCTCCCAAGGTAATCTAAGCAATACGTGTGCTTCTAGTCGGCAGAATTTTAGAAGGGAAAAAACGTACTTTTTTAAAAGCACCAAACTCTAACACAAGCCTCTTACCTTTGAAGGTATCCAGATCGGCTGGTTTTGACAGCTGTATCCACAAGACCCTCCCTGCCAGCCATGCAGTGAAAGAAGAATTCCTAAACACAAACATAACCCCATCAGCATCCTGCTGATCAGCAGAATCCCAAGATCAGTAACTTATGTTCTTTTGACCAGACTGCATTTAAAAATAGGGTGAAAATAACTGATCCATCTATAAAGTGTTATAGTATTAAGAGCTACTTCAATTTCAGGATGACCTCAAGCATTACTCAACTTACAGAGGGTCTGATCCCAGTGAGAAATCTGCCGGTCACAAATCCCCCTGAGCTTGGGGAAAAATCGTACGGCTGGAAACACGGCAGCGATTTGCCAGATGCCATCAGTGGGGGCCTTCGACCTTCCAGCTCAATCTGGCCCAGCAAACAGGAAATCTGCAAGTGAACAGGAGGTCACCGGCAAGGAAAAAGGAAGCCATTATTTTTCCACCTAATTTGTGCTGACATTAAGTGCAAAACTTTTCCAATAAAAACAACAAAAATCATTGAAGAAATTCTTGCTACTGAAGAGGCATGTAAATCTCACCCGATCTTTTTTAAATTATTCCAGCTGCTCAAGCCATCCCTCCACATTTCCAATGTCATTCTGCACATTTATTTCAATACAAAAAGACCTGACACTAAAATAATGCAAGTGCTGAGGTCCCTACATTACCCTGACTACCTCTTAGCAGTACACTGAAAATTTCTTGAGCTTTGATTATTCTCTCTCACCTTCTTCTTGAAGTTAGAATATATAGACAGAACTTTAGACAGCAGTTTATATACAGGGTCTGTGGTCTGGAATCCCTCTGTGTTGCAAAGGGCAAAATGAAAGGGCATCCCAACCATTTCCACCAGAAGTATGGTAAGGTCTTAATTGTCCCTTGTTTAGCAGTGGAAGAGAACAGAGGGGTCAGCCTCAGCAGTGCCCAAGAGAATTCTCTCTTCTGCAACAGGCTGTTTTTGTAATTTTTAGCATATGCCTTTCTAGAAATAGCAGACCTTGTTAGTAGAAATCTTCATGTACTAAGAAGAGAGGCAAAATAGAAGGTTACAGTAAGCACTCTCCTCTATCACTTGCTGAGGTCTTTTTATTACATTTTTCTAAAAGTTTTCCACATCTAAGACTCTACCATTCCCAAAGCCCGAATGTATGATCTTGCTTTGCTACTAGATACACAGTTCCTAGGAGAGCTTCAATGTCATTTGTATTCCAAGACAAATCATCTCAATTCACATAGCTGCCAAGTGTTATAACTGCCATATTACCTGCATCGTATTTACAGTAGATCCTTTGGCTCCCGACTGCACCATCAACTGCAAATTGTTCTCTGGAAAGCTCCTATGGAGACCAAGAGGCATACAAACCTAAAGGTTTGAGGTGAGGGGAAGAACAAAGCCAAACCAGAATTATTAAACCATGATTAATAAAAAAAGATAAACAGCAATCCCTAATGAAGGTTGAAAAAAAAAAATGAAGCCAAGACTAACCATAAACTTTCCTGTTTATAATCAAAGAAAAACAACAGAATTGGAAATAGTGATATATGACAGGCTCAGATAGCAACCCAAAAATTAAAGGCTTCCTTGAATATTCAAGACTGCCTTGATTATTAAGTCATCTTCTCATTTGGGGAGGCCAAGGTTAAGGTATTGGCAAGGCAGTATGTGAAGCCTCATGCTGGGGACAGATGGAAAGCTTCAGCCTTCAGAACAGTCAGGCACCCCTCGTCAACATTAAATTAACTCAATAAGAAAGTCTCCAAACAAGATTAGTATATACAGATGCCTCAGTGCCAACCTTGTTAACTTGATTGTTGTAATTGTTTACTTCCTCCTTGAATTTCAGATCAACCATGTTAAAATCCCTCTGGTCTTTGCAGAGATGGGCATCCTGCCATTTCCCTTGGACCTCATCACATGATGCTGTTTCTGGCAAATTAAGCGCAGCTCTCACAGCCTGAAAGCAAAAAGATTTATTTTTAGGCGCCAAGAAGACATGATCGCACAAAGCAGGATTTGCAAGTATTTAAATGATGGGAATGAAACTTTTTTTTGCAAGGCGGACTTACTTCAATACCACAATGAGTTGATTTTTCAATAATTTTTTGTCTTTCGCGGTCTGCTTCAGGTTTAACCAAGATATCTTCAATCCCTGTTAAAGATGAGAGATCATATAAAGACCTAAACTCCACAAAAGAATAAAGATAGGAGACCACTTTTGTTTCTGGGAAGCTTAAGATCAGGGAGACCAAGTCTGGCTGGCAACAATCGCCCATGGCTTCCCTCAGAGATCAACACTGAGCACTGTGCTCAAGAAAATCAAAGGCTGTTTCCTGTATCTGTGATGGACAGGAGAAAAATAAAGCAGTACAGAATAAGGGCCAATGGCACACAGCAGCTCTGCGTGCATTTTTGCATGACTTTGCAAAACTGCAATGGAAGTCAGCAATTTATCAAAGGATTAACAATAGAATGAGACATGCAAGACTTGACTAATAACCCCTCAAAGGCCTCCCATCTGACTTTATCTTGTTACATTTTTATGCAATATTTTTTTTCAAGGGAGTAGGGAAAAAAGCAAACACTCATGTGTCCACTTTGATAAGAAAGCAAAAGAGAGAACTAGTGATGCACATATACAAACTGACACTTTTCCTTTATGTTTACAAGGCCAGTTATGCACTGAATGGAAAAAAAAATGGCAAACAAGGAACACGAGGTCTTGGGAAACTTTATTTAGAGAAGTCTTGGTGTGTATTATGGCCAGTAGCATCAATGTTATAGGAGGTGCTGCACTACAGCACTGCTGAATGAGTCCCTGTGCTACTCACCCATTGTAAATCCCCTGTAGAGCTGCAGATAAGCAGTGAAGAGGCGTCCCAGACACGTTAGCACTTTCCCACTAGTTTCCCCCCCGTAGACTTCGTAGCAACAGTGGACGAGGCCGTAGGCAGAGCTGCCGAAGTGAGCTTTGTCCAAGACTCCACACAGCAACTCCCCGTTCCTAATAATAACCTGAAAACAAAGACACAGTTAATCAAGTAGAGATTCTGATCCCACTGTGATGCAGATCACATTTGGAGTGTAGACTTCTTTGTGTAATCCACATGAAAACAAGTTTAAGAGGTTTAAAAGGAGGTATCAACTAGCGAACAATATTTTCAATTAAAAAAAAATCCCACAACCTTCTAATCAAAGAAGAGAACTAATCACCTCTGTATTTTTTTCACCTATAAAATAAGCTGATGGAGACCTACAACCTAATAAAAACATGGGTGGAATCCATATCAGGGTCAGGATCAGAAAGCGTTCTTCCTGACTTCCAAGCCTTCTTCCAAGCCTTCTTCCAAGCCTTCCAAGACTTCTCTTGCTACTGCCCAAAGGTGGTGATTGTTTCTCAATATCTAATTTTGTCATCTCCATGAATTCCCTCCCATTCCTCTACTGTTATATTAGATTTTTATTAATACATAACCCAGCCCAGTCTCCAGAGTCACTTACTGCGCCAGCATACCTGAGATTCACACATTGAATCAAGATTAGTTTCCAAACATCTTTTTGCAGGCCCTTTCACCCAGGCTTTTCCACCAATCTTAGCTTTCCCAGTCAAATTCAGTGGGATCTGGTTTTCTGGAATAATGTTTATTAACAATGTAGAAACAACCTATAAAAAGGCAGAAAAAGGAGCAGAAGCTATCAATTTTCCATATTTTCTTCTCGCTATAACAAATCTAGCATGGAGAAAAAAGAAAAGCAACATCCTAAGCATATTTTTTCCTACTGATAGCAAGGCTTTGGAAGCCCAGATCTGTAGTCTACAAGACAGGAACATCCTCTTGCTGCTCCAGCCTTTACAGGATCAATGAGCTGGCATGCACAATTATTCAAGAACATATGGCACCAAATGTATAGCTCTCCTAAATAGGAGGAAATGCAGCATTCACTAGGGTTCCTCATATTAGATCAACAAAATGATGATTTCAACCAAACTGCCCAATACCAGAGCATTTATCTGCAACCTTTATGTTCACGTATTTAAAAGAAGTGATTAACTGGTTCCAGCCTCCCACTCTCAGCAAGAAGCTCTAATCAATGTGATCAGCAAATTCTTCCTCTGCTCTTGTGCCTGTAAACTGCAGCACTGTTAAGAGCAACAAGTAAAAGTATGATCCTAACACTGTTACTTTAAAGGAAACAAGACTCACGTGACTCTAATAAGAACAAATACCTAGTTCAATATAGTGTTGCTTAGGTGATAGGATTCTGCTTTTCAGCAGCTCAACAGCACTAGTTTTATTATTAGTTCTGCTCACTCTGGAACCACTGACACTCTTAACTCAATACATTTCAAGTTACCTGCTTTCCTGTCCATAATTGCTGTGGCTTCATAATGGCAGGTGGAAAGATTTTAATTCTTCCCTTTTTGTCTGTTAGGCCTCGGTAAACAAGCTCCATATATTGCTCCCGTGTGAAAAAGCAGCTCCGGATTGTCATGCTGACACCAGAAATCATGTGATCTTGGATCAAGCCAGGAAGTGGTTTGCCATCCTACAGAGACAGAAAGGAGAAGGATTGGAGGGTTAGAGGTTAAAAGGGTCACAATCCCAAAAATAGTTCGGCCGGATAAAAGCACCAAGTTTTAGTGCAGGCCTCTACAAAATCTCTTCTGAACTAAAGGAATAAGATTTCTTTTTTCCCAAGAAAAGGATCATCATATAAAGAGGAGGAGTGAGGAGGAGCGAGAAAAGAAAAAGAAAAAAAGGATAAAAAGAATAAAAAGGATAAAAAGAAAAAAGGATTAAAAAAAGAAAGAAGAAAGAAAAAAAGGAGAAAAAAAAAAAGAAAAAAAGAAAAAAAAAACGGAGAGACCAAATATGCCACAAGAATCTGTAAGAGGAATAAGCAAGCCTGGTGACAAGTGGGAGACAGAAAAGGCATCAGGAGCATACTAGTGTGGATAAGCATTTCAGGCACTACGAACAATCTCAGAGAGGTACTACAGGCAGTTACAAAGAGGTACTCAACCCATAAACACCTGATCACACAAAAATCAAAGCGAAGCCCACAGACAGATTTCCAGATTTCTCTCTGGCCTCCCTCTGACGCGCATGATTCGAGCCTGTGCTCCGCTTATGAAGGCACCAAGGCAGAGGCTTCCCCGTCACGTTACAAAAAACAACCCTGGAAGTAGTTCACCCATTCACCTTTGGAACCAGGTACTGCTCGTCCGTGGAGGCTAAGGTGTAGGCCTCGGCTCTGCCCAGCTCGCTCTGGGGAAAATGGGCGTTCATCTCGTCGCCGTCGAAGTCGGCATTGTAGGCCTTGCAGTTGGCGTAGTGAAGCCTCAGCACCTTCTCTCCGGGCAGGATCCTGGCCCGGTGAGCCTGGATGGAGGGTCTGTGACGTCTCCGTTTTTAATATGACGACACACCTGCAGAACAAGTGAAATTGCTGCCTGTTAGGCATTCTCCTGCATGCCTCTGAAAAGGATGAATCTGCAAATATACACGCATCCAAAACACCTGTTTTCTAGTATTGATGTTCTGTGCAAGCCTTTATAGGAGAATCAGCTCTACTTGCCCCTTAAACCTCTGTTCTCCACCAAACCACACCAGGACTGCAAATGCACCATTAGCACCCACAAAACATAAAGATCAAACCAAGTTAATAGCATGCAAGCCACATCCTATCAACTTCTGCTCTCCCATGGCAATGCAGAGACCAAAGACTGAAAGAGAAAGGAAATTCGTAAATTCGTAATTCATAACTATGTAATTTGTAAATTCTCATTTGTAAATGAGAACACAGGCTGTTTAGCCAAAGCCCTCAGGGCTGACTTGGTAATTCCACTATCATAACCCCAGACATCCCAGATCACAGTACCACTAGCTGGAGGCCAGGGACCTCTGAGATCTAGTTTCAAGCTTGAACACAACACATGAAGGTCACACAGTGCAGTCTCCTCTACAATTTAGTCCCTCAAAATAGTCTCATTTTAATCTCCCTGTCAGTAATACGCATGCATATAATGTATATGTTTAAGTGATTATCAACTGCTGGAAGTTAAATTGTACAATCTAAGTAGCTATTTATTGGTATTTATTTGAATATATGCAGATTTCAATAGCCACACTGGTATCTCCAGGAGTTAAGTGCAAACAGAGCTCAACCATGTTGTGCTTAATATTTCACAAGGCTCATTTGCTCATTCACACAGTGGGAGCCTTCAGCACATATTTCAGCAGTGCACTCTGATTTGGCGTTTGTTTTGCCAGTCATCATCCCACCAAAAAAAGCCAACAGAGGATTCTGAATTTTCTCTTTCCACACCAGCATCTGAAAGTCTCCAATACCAACGTGTGTGTAAGCAGCCTGGGGGGCATCCTTTCTGATCTCGCTGTGACACTGAGTCTAGGGGCTCGCCATGTTATGCCATTTTAGGCAGATCTAATTTATTTCTGCCACAGAAAGAGATGTTGGGTTGTTTTCACCTGATACTGTGTTTGGAAACACCCTGCAAGTTCAGAACTTGAACAAATATTTAAATGTCTGAGCCCTGACATTGGTAGCCCTCCAAAAAGTTTTTTCTTTGCTGAATATTTACCACAGCATAAGTTTCTGTGTGGCCCTAAAGGATAACCCTCAGCTCCCACATGCACTGTAAGAGAAAGTCCCATTGTAGAAGTTCAGGAAAAAGGAAGAGATCAAAGTGCATACTAAGCTACCCAGTGGTTCACCATTCTACTTAAAGCATCTTTCCACACATACTTAATCAAGCCAAAACTACCAAATTTGGTGATTTCAGATATTTTTATATCCTGAATACCACCAAAATGTCACAACACTACATGCAATTCCCTCGTCAGGTCACCATGGTTTTCCATTTTCAAATCACATTAGTCTGCTATTACTGAAAAGACCTTAGCTTTAGCACCCCAAATCTCAGGTGCTTTTCTGCACACAAAATGAGCCAAAATTTCAAGCCGTTCGAAGTAGAACAAATTAAGACACCAAGAAAAATCCTGCTTGATCTGTACAGTTTCATTTACACAAGTACTTGAGAGCTGAAGTGCTCTCCTTGAAACACCTTTTTGTCTAATGGGATATTCTCTGTTTCTGCACTTGTTTTCTCATTTCACAGTATGCTAAAAGCTGCTTTCTTTATGTTCTGTCTTGGGTATAAACATCTGTTTGCACTGATGAACCCTAAGAGAAGATTGCTATCAAGGGTGATAGCTCAACCATCATGTTTATTAACAGCAACCTGGGCTGGAAGCCAGGAATTCATGGGCTCTTCTTGTCTGAAAACAGTCCTCTTCACACAAGACTTATTGCTGCTTTGTGCCCATCAGAAACACAGGGGCAATACAGAACTTGCATGAGCAATAAAAATGTAGTATCTATGACAGGCTCCAAGAGAACTGACACCATGAAAATACTGAGTCTTAAATCAAATCTACAGCAGGCCTGTATTAGAGACACAGATATGTGTAACATATTTTGTGAGAAGACTATTCAGCATTTCTGCAAAATATTTTGCTCTAGCAGCTCAACAGCCTTTGCAGATAGCAAATTCTCCACTCTTGCAAGGTAGAGAGACATTAAGAAATTTCGTAGGTTGATTATATTGTGCATTTCACAAATGCTAATATCTACATAAATAAATGTGAATGAGCGTGGCAGTTCCTTGTCTTGCAGTCTGTAGAGAAGACTGATTCTTTGAAGGTCAAACTGTTCCTTCCCTGCTCTGTACCACTATGAGCACTGCTGGCCTGGAATGGAGGACTTGACTCCACATGTGCTCAGGGATACTTGCTCATGCTTGCTAGGAGACCAGTCCCATCAGCTGCTCATGTTCCCACTACTCTACAAGTACGCTGAATTTCAGCCTTCAGAGATACCATGAAAAACTGTTCAAAATTTTCACGCTCCCCCCGACCAAGTTTTTCTTAATTACCTACTAAAAGAGAAAATAATCCTGTAACGGAAGCCTTTATTAGCAGGCATATTGGAATCACCAGCAGAGACTTAAAAAAAAAAAAAAACACACACACAAAAAACCACACAGGAGATCTCTGACAAGCCAAGTCTTTGCAATACTCACAATCTTCAATCCTGACTGGGGAGCACCTGAGGAAGGAGTAAGGAGCTGCTTAGCTATGGCTTCCCTCTGGGTCAGGCTACTGGCACTCAACACTGTACGAGATCCATCTTCATTAATGACCATGGAGGCCCCAGGATGAACCTTTGGGCCATTAATGACAGCCTGCCTCAGCTCCTTGACATTCCAGGGAGTGACTGGCTGAGGGTAAGTCAGTTTGGTAGCAAATACCTAGACAGGAGGGGAAAAATAGGAAAGAAATAGTTATTTTTTTCCAACATTGGCTTAAAACAGTACTGAGTCACGGAGAAAACAGTGTTAACATCTCACGCAATGTAAACGGAAATTATGTGAAGCTCTTTCTTAGATGTGAAGACCTTCTAGATGCATCCTCATCTCAACTAGTCGTTACGCTTAATAAATTCACCTCTGTTCTAAAATCCTCTAACATAAGAAGAGAAACTATGTGTTTTTTATGGCTTTCTGCTGCAGTTAAAGATGAAAACTCATTAAGCAGTTAAACAAGCTACATGATTTTAGAATCTGAAAAAAATGACAAAAGTAAGGGGAATACAAAAAAGAAAGGACAAAAAAGGGCAGCAAAATCAGCATTCTCACCATTCTCAGATAGACAAGCAGATAGGCAAGCAGAAAAGAGTGTTATAAGAAGGCATTCTGTGACCTCTGGGACGAAGCAAAATTACTAGAGATTAACTTTTCTTGAAGGCTGTCATAGCTGTTACAAGATACATTACGCAAAGACTAAGACAGAAACAGAATCTAACTATAAAGTTCATATTAATTCATAGTCTCAGGAAGCAGGCACTGCTTCTTTTTTTTTTTCCAGCCTCTTTTCTAGATGTGGTGCTTAGCATAATAGTATTGTATATAAGTAAGTCCTCCAGCTCTCCTTCTTTATCAACCCTTTGTTAACACAGAGTTACAAACACATCAAACAATTCATACGAGACAGTAAATCATTTAAAAAACAAACACCTCAAACCGACTTCTGGAGCTTTGCCCTGTAGCCAAAAGTGCTACACATTCCTCAGTGACACCAAAAAGAAATTGTCCTTTATCTCTTCTTACCATGGGAATGCCAATCTCATTCGTACCAATGTACATATCAGGGCAAATGACGGATCGAGCAGCATAGTCCACACGTTTTCCCATCATATGCTTGCGAAACAGACCTTCCTTTTTCTCTAATAGCTTTGAAAACAAAAGTTAAAATAATGATTATAATGTGAAACACACATTACAAGCCTGAAAAATCTGACAGGCTCAAGATTTTAATGACGCATTTTATGAAAACACCTGCACACTAAACACAAACATTTCACTTTTTTTTTTTTTTTCAATTCCATCTATACTTCTCATTTATAACTGCCTGCCATATAGCAAGTCTAAGGCTCTCCCTGCTACCCACCTGACGAATCCCAGGGTATTTTTCTGTCACTAGCTTGTCCATGTCACTATCAAACACAATGTTGACATGGCTCTGAAGACGAATCCAAGCATTGTACAGCTTATCTGCAATGGTCTGTCCCGAAATCATGGACAGGACAGAACGGTCCACAGGCTCATCAGGCTCACCTGTCTCCTACAAAAAAAGAAGCAGAGAAACATCCTCCATTCCCTCAGAATTTTAGTATTAACCACCCGAATACAGGCCAGTATTTTGCACCTCACTAAAAACACTGAATCCCAAAAAGCATTAGTAATATAACCATGATTTTAAAATTATTATAACCAAGTCCTTCAGACTGGTCCGCTGTCAAACTTTAAATACCCACTTGGATGGGAGATCTCCAAAGACAACAGCTACATAATCTAATGGAATTTTAAGAGATGGTTGTCTGGTGACTGTCTGCTTTCCAAATTACCTTTCTGCTAGTTAGTGACTCCATGCTAAGAATCACTGTGCTACTGAAAAGTCTTATTTTTACATAAAATAATATAAATTCATGAGCCTATATTACTTACATCACTTTCATCTCATAGTTCTAATAGTCTCTATCACAGGATCACTGAAACATATGCTGCAAGGCACTAATGTTTTGTGACATCAAATTTTTAAGAGTGATCTCCATCTAGTGGCCACTGGAGAAATATGAAGACATCATAACAATGGAAGCAAAATACTTAGATTTGGAATGACAGTCCAAAACTGAGACATAATCATCATGCCAAGACTAGGAGGTGGAGGAATAGATAGGGGCTATTGCACAAAAGCTGAAGATGCCCTGACTAAAACTAGTTTACTTAGTTTCCTTTACACTTCTGCTCTCAAGCAGTGGGTTTCAAGGACAAGAGACACATTTGCTTACAGGGATGTTTGATGCTCACAGCACATCTCAGTTGTGCTTTCAAAAGCTCATTTGTTAAGATAAACAATATATATGCATTTAGAGCTTCCTATTAGAGTGTTCATTCCCTCTGTAGGCCATGACCTCCATTTACAGGCTGAATTCAGAAACTGAAGTTTTCTCAGCTTCCTCCCTGCATGTCTTTGCAACAGAAAACCCTAGGAAGTCACACAGCTCACAAGATTGCTGACAATATATGATGGTATTTGTCACTATATTACCACGTGAACTGGTCAATATTAACCAAGCAGTTACAAGTTATTGTTATTTGTGAACTAATTTGTTCCATCTAAAAACAAATGGCGAATAATAACAACCATCAACTGGTGGTGGTTGTTATTATTATTCCTATTTAATTATTATTATTAAGCTTTTAAGATAGATCAGCCTTTCACCACTACTGCTTTCCATTCTCTGCAATGCTGGAAAAGTATTGCCACAACTGTTTCTGCTGTACATATTTCATTCTCCAATAACAGAAGGCCATTAGTTCTCATATAAGTCATCAAATAGAAGAATTATGCAGACTTCTTTAGCTGCATTTAAGGTTTTTGCTTTTGCACCATGTGAGTAGAACGTGATACAAGCAAAGTTATGGAGAACACCTACAAGAGCATTTACTCCAACAGCCCAGGCAGAAACTGCTACAGTTTAAACAGGAAAGTGCTTGAACTTTGCCCACACATTGAAAATGAAAGAAGTACATAGCCAGCAACTCTTACTGTTTGGATTTCATTTTCTGTTATTTTTATTGGCTGACATTGTTCTTTTGCCATGAAAACCAAGAGCTTCCGTATCATTTGTGCATCTTTCATGACAGCCTGCAGGTTCACAGTCTGCCCATTTGTGAACATCCGATCTCCGAGACGATTTATGGGACGGTACCTACAGCAGATCAAAAGCATTTTGGAAGCTTAAAGTCATCCTCCCACAAAAAAAAAAAAAAAAAAAAAGCCCCCCCACAAGTCTCAAACATTCTAATTCAATGAAATGCATGAAAAATAATTCTGTAAATCAACAGTGTATATTTAAAACTTCAACTATTATACTGGGACAAACATTAGAGGAATGATTTCTTAACAAATTTTACTGGTACAAGTATAATATATGTAATTATAAAACACAATTTGAAAGAATTTGAAATACTAGCACTTTTTTTTTCTAAAATAAGTACTTCCATCCTTTGTCAATTTGAAGTTGCATTGAAATTTATCACCTATTACTGCTATGACTTTTAACACCTCACAGATACTTTAGCAAGTTAGAGTGCTTGCACTGTAGGAGTTTACATCCCTGACCTCTGCTGGAGTATGTGCCCAAACCCATGACTTCTACAAAGTTTTTGGGAAATTACTTACCTTGAAGGTGGAACCACAAGAAGATCTAAAAAAAACAGATCTGGACTGAATCCTGTACTGCCATGATTATCCATACCAGGGAAGAGATAACGCAAAAAGAAACCTGATAGGATACAATAGCAAAGACAAATTCACTAAGACTTCTTTTCAAAGGGCATGCAAACTCACAGAAATGCATTTGGTGAATTAAGTCAAAGGCATTTTCTGGGTTAAATACTAAAAAACTCCGTTAAAATAAAAACACATAGGACTTGATTAAAATAAAATCACATAGGCATAAATACCTTGGAAAAAAACTGCCATGATTCATTTTGCTTTGTTTAGAAATAATTCTGACTGGAAACACAGGCTATAGCAAAAGAAATAAAGTAAAGCATCAAGAAACAATTCACAGCTACTGGCTGTGTCTGTTATATGAAGCCCCCATTTTTTTCCCTGGCAACTGCAGACACACTCGGTGCACAGGGTACTCAAAACAGAAGACATTAAATGCTTTCTCAAGAGAGTCTTTAATACGTCACTGTTGGAAACAGTAGGCACAGCACCATGTGAACATCAAATTCTCTGTAAATAACAAACAAGCTTTGTGGGGAGCCACAATTTGAGAAGAGCTGAGTAACAATTTAATTCACTGAACGCAGCTCTCTGTATTTACTAGCTACTAGTCCTCCTGTCACAAACAACTGTCTGGCAGCCAGGTGCCATTAAGGCAAAAGGCAAAGACTTTAAAAGGAGTCCATATGAGAACAAACATCTGCAGACTCTGTCCACTGAATGACACAAAGAACAAGGGGTAACATTGCTCTAAGAAGAGGTACCTTCATTCTTCCACAGAGACAGGATGTACTCTTTGGCAGTCATTGGGGTTAGATATCCTCTCTTGCCTAACTGGGTTTCATCAATAACTGAAAAATTAAAATAAATAAAAAGATGTGATTTTAAAGAGTTTTCTTAGCTTATCCTAAGTGCTTCTAGCAAAGACAAGAAATGAAAAGAAGAAAATGCAAACTAAGTACATCAGCTGACATCTACATTAAAATATCATTAAAATGTTTGCTTTGGGGATAGGGTATTAACTAAAAGAGAAACTCTGCAGTAAGAAGAAAATAAGCCTAAACATACACGACAATTGGATACCAGTAAAAAGGGCTGAAGCAGCACTCAACTTCTAACAGCTGCAACATTGGAACAGTTCTGAAGGGGCTTAAAGAAAAAGATCAAAGCTGCACCCAACAGTTTCATAGGGTGAAGTCACATTTGTCACTCAGAAGTAATTAGTATTGGGATATGCATATCCCTGCTTTTGTTGAAAATGTCACTAATACAATGTTAAAGCAGAGACCTCACCACTTAAAAACTCATCACTGACATTGTGCTCCTGAGGAACAACTCAAAGATTTGATATGCAGACTAGCAAGCAAAGTAAGTCTTATTTCTAAATCTAACCAATATACAAACCCAATTTCATTCTCTCTGGTCACGTAAAGGAACAGAGATGGAACAGACAAGGGAAAAGGGAGGTTTGCAGAGAATCACACTTTAGAATAATTAGGCCTAGAAAGTGTTGCCTACTTTCTCTCCGATCTTTTCCTCTTTAAAAGGAAATTCTACTGTCAAAGGTAGGGCAAATTAGGTTCATCATCTTCCTTGTAATTCTCTTTTATAGTCACTGAAGTCATAGACAGGCCTAGTCTTTTGTCTAATTTTTACATGCAAGTTGCAAGTATGTAATCACTGATAGGAATCCCTGCACCTTAAATAGAGAGAAAAAAAAAAGAAAAAAAAAAAGGTGCAAATATAGTTGAGAGGACAGATATTTCACCTGCTGGCTCTTCTAGGCTGCCTTCCTCTCCTGACTTCTGATATACTGTGGAAGGATAGGTTACTGTCAGCTTGCTGTTATGCTCTTTTCGCACTAGTGATCTCCTAGATCTGAAAGGAAAAAAAGGGAAAACAGATAAAAGTCAGTACAAAAGCTTGCCAAGGTCACTATAATTACCTTTACATTATCTCTTTACTTTGTTATGCAGTTAAACGTACTTGCAGTTTGGACATTTTTTTGAAGTCATATGTGCTTTCCAGAACTGTGATATCAGTTTATTCTTGCATTCACATACATTTTTTACCTAAAAAAAAAAAAAGGCAGAAAATAAAATAGTAACTAACAATTAACATGCAGGCTGCTACTATTAATACACTTATTTAAGCATTGATCTCTACTGTCCTTCCATTCTCTTCCTATGTTTGCTGGAAACCTAAGAATTCCTTCTTTCCTTTCACTCAACCCCCCTCTTTTTTTTACTTTATTTCATAAGTAGCCTTTATTCTTTAAGCTGGTACTAAATCTTAAGAGTTTTTCCTCTAATGATGCTGTACAATGTGTATTAAGCTGCATTTAAATGGCAGTGAAAATTCAGTTACAGTCATTTAAATCTTTATTTTTTTACAGCAAGTGACTCTGCATAGCTGCTGGATACATGAGTTCTCGAAGTTAAAAAAAAAAAAAAAAAGTTCTGCAGATATAGCTGATATATTGCACAGAATTATCATCATGGCAGATAGAATACCAACAGTAACATGCAATTATTTCTATATTCCATGTACATCACCAAAGTATTTGCCTTAACAGTGTAATTTCTAGAAACCTAATATCTACTCTTTTTATGGTCCAGAAAAGAAAACCTTTCCAACCTTAACTTCAGATCTTTGACCCAAAAAGTCCTTTTTAAGAATAACAAAATTCAAAGCCTCATATACATAGTAATATGCAGGAAAAAAGAATCTATTGGTTTATCTTAAAAGGACATAAAATCCAAGACCCTATGAAGAGCACTCATTATACTTACATTGGAACATTGATCTCCTAGTTGATTATTTTGTAGTATTTCATGAACATGGCGATTTAACTCTTCTTCAATTTCTAGGCCTGTTGCATCTGCATTTTGCTCTAGAAACTAAAAGAGAGAATAAATTAAATAAGAAGAGTTCTAGCATTGCATAACCATCAACTCAAAAAGGAATGGAAGAAGACAGAGTACTTGCCCTGTTCAGGATGACTTCAAGGTCATGGACTGCATGAAGCAACCCTCTCTCCAGAACCTTCAGCTGACTTCGCAGCAAGTGAACCACAGCTCGAGTACACGTCAGCATGTGACAGTTCAAACAAGAACCGCGAATTAGAAGGTATAATTTCTGAAAAGGAACAGAAAGAAAAAAAAAAGTTATCATTGCAGATTTACTCTTTTGCACAGTCAAGTTGTTTTAAGAAAAAATGCTGTTAAAAAACAGATATTAGACCAATCACTAAATTAAATCACAAGCAATTCCGTGAAGATAAAAATCAAGCTCACACACAAGCCATATTCTGCCAACAAACCATCTGCAGATTGCCACTGTTTCAGTCATGAGGAGAAAGGCCATAGCATGTCACCCCCACAGACACTTAGAGAGGAAGGCTGCTCTCACACAACACTGCCAAGACTACTACTAGCTCATTCCATAAACACATACAACTCTGCTTTACATCATGTCTCCAGCAGCCCATATAAGTAGAACAACTGTAAAGCTCTGAAAAGCATGTCTCATTTCCAGGTGCTAGAAATCTTCTTGACAGCTTTTTTTTTTTTTTTAATGAAAACAGATTTTCTCCATATAGCTTAACTTTTTTCAACTCTCTACAACTGTCAAATTTACAACCCTATGTTCTTCTATTTGTTTAGCACTTGCTGCATGTCACTCAGCATATGGCTGGACAGTGTCTTGGGTCTTACCCATATTGACCCAGTTTCCTGAAATAATTGTTCTGGAGTAAGAGTCTGAGAAGAATATGAATGGCCAGAAGGCACTTAGATATCCTAGGGTAAAGGCTTGTGCTGTAGGTGCTCATGTAAGTTCATAGAAGTAGTTTAAAAGACCAAACTAATAGTTTTTACTGTCCAAATAATGACCAACTACCTGCAATTAGTTTCCCTCCCTTCATTTGTTACAAGTGTACGTTTTGAAAAAAAAAAATCCATTGGAACTCTCCTTATGAAAATGTCATGGTACAATAAAATTTTTCTACCACATTCACTTACCACCTATTACAGTGGAGCTACCCTTAAATTAGGAGTAAAGGTAGATCTCTGCAATCTTAAATTTTCAGAGACTTCAAGATAGCTTGAGCAGCAGCACCCATTTCATCCTCAATGGAAAAAACGCACATACTTACATCAAAAAACAGAGGGTTATAGACAGTGAGGGGTAGTTCTATGTGGCCAAAGTGCCCCGGGCAGTTGCTGAAGGTCTGCATGCAAGTTGCACATGCTTCTTTGGAGTCTGGAGGTCCCAAAGCCAGGTCATACAGTCCATTAACAGCTGGATTCCCCACATTATCCAAATACTGAGGGTTTGTTATGGCTTTTACACTGAGTTTCCTGTAATTGGGAAAAAGAATCAGTGGCAGCAGTTACATAACACATACTTAATAGTGTGACTAGCTAGCTTGAACATTGTCGCTAACATTTAATATCTGCTTTTACATATATATACACATATATGAGAAAAAATACCTTTTTCAGAGCAGTTTATGAAATCAGCAGGCATTCCGGCAACACTAGCTCTATTAACTCAGTCACTCATCCCACAGGAAATTCTTCTTTCAAGCCTTTGGTCGGTGTATTAAAAAGCCAACTTGTTTTGACGCATTTGGCCCAAACGGTCCCAGCTCTGGGACTTTTCCAGGTCCCCATTCCATCCCACAGACCCCTCCTCCCTACCCAGATCCCCTCCGGAGGGTCCCCCCGGCCTCACAAGCGCTTCCTCGCCCCCAGGCCTCCCAGCCGGCCCCACAGCTCCTGGCAACTTTAGAGGTGAACCCAGGTGCCCCCCCATTCCACAGGCCGGCGAGGGCCAAGCTGCAGCCGGACTACATGTCCCAGGATGCCGCGCGCGGGCCGCCCGCCGAGACCAGCTAGCTTTCGCGCGCAGGGCACGCTGGGAGTTGTAGTCCCCCCAGCCCCACGCGAGGGAGCGGGCCTGCGCTGGGACCTCACCTGATCTCGTCAGCCGAGTACATGCCGAAGGAGACGCGGCCCAGCCGC